CCTAGGTACGCTCAACATACGGCTCGCAAACTGCCTTGAAAGCAGCCTCGTATACTCATTTCACGTCGAATCAATTCAGTGTAACTAAGTTTACAAGTCCCTTACCATTTGCACAATGCTTTCCTACTGCACAGTGAGAAATGACGTACCTCGTAGTTACCGCGCATCCCTCAGCTCCGCACTTTAGCCCTCAGAATCTCACGGAAAATCCCGCATGCTGACAAGTTTTAAAAAAAAACTGGAACGTTCGTTTTTCTGTGGATCATCAACTTTGAACGTCGGTAATACACCGCGATAAGGGTGACACTGACTGCAGCATAGTACAGAGACACAAACGTGGCGACAATGATTCACAAACCACGAGATTTTGGCATGATCGACCCCAACGATATCATGTCGTGTGATTTACCATAATGACGTCACAGACACTAGCTAAAACGCCAGGCGCGTGCCACGTCAATATTTCGTCGTTTAAAAGCACAGGGGTGAGGAGTTTTGCTCAGCGGTGGATGCCCCACCTCAAATAAAACAATGAGTGAAATACAGTCAGTAAAAAAATATATTTGAATTTATCCGGGTGCCAAAAATCATTATGGGAAAAACCTACTGTTTAAGTAATCATTTCTAACCAGGAGTTTTGGCGGGTGGCCGAAAATTTTTCATTCCAAGGCCAGCGTCCTATGGGCAATTTAATATTTTGGGGTTATGCTGCACGATAAGGGGTATTACAACTCTATCTAAGTAATCCTTTCTAATTAGTTAACATTTAATGAGGTAAAGCAACTACTAAACGTCTATGTTAAAGCGCATCTTCTGTGAAACAGATGTAACGCAATTTTGAATATGACGCTCTATAGGTAGCTAGCATCCCGGCCACAATAAAATGTCTTGACGTTATGCCGTAGGCTAATCGGTACCACGTACGCACTTACATAGAAATGTTGAATCTAAACGTATCATACAACTACTATTGATACTTCCGGAGCTTGAGCACTTCCTACAAGTCTGCCTAGTTAACAACTAACTTTCAGCTGAGTCGGTCCAGCATGTAATACACACCCCTTCCCTTTTTAAACGTGCAGTTTTCCAAAAGAGGACTTTTCAAGGCCTACTAATCTCATCCATTGGCCTAACGATCCGTTATCAGGCTGTCCTGATTACTCGTCCCACGGTGCACTATCGATCGGTACAAGCCGCGTGAGTGATGAGATCGATGAAGCTGCCGGCCGTGATTAGTTTTCTGCCCTATCACTCTGTTCAGCCCGAAAGCAACTCGGCAGAGTATTCCTTTCTTGAGGCCACAATCTGATTGGGCTTATCTGTACACTCTGCATGCCATAAGTACGCTGTGTTAGGTCTGCCAAAAGGTTTCTTTTGTGCCACGTCAACAATAATCCCAGCCCTAAAATTAAGCCGGAATTTAGCGCAAAGGTACATTCTTTGTCGACTGTTCCTCTTTTCATGTCCTTTTAGGGGTCATATATGTCATCCTTCCCGTCCGTTGTAAACACACGGTACCAAGATGTTATTTGTGGTAGGTTTGTTTCTAAAATGAGATCTCATATTTTTATTTTTCCATATAGGACCTGACGAACAAAATTGCCTCACGCTCTGTCAGCCTCTCGCAACGTCTTGAAGAGCCCAATTTCTGGGATCGGGTAAGTATGAACTAAAGCACGCAGTTATACGGCTGCACTCAGGGTATTCTCTTATGTGCCCTAAAAATCGTTGTATTTTTGGTCTAGAACCTAATTCGAAATGTACGGAACTGCTGGAAAACAGTGCAGATGTTCTCGCTGGCCAGTCGTGTTCACATCTCAAATGCCGCGGAATACCAAATGGTAATCTGTCACTTCGATTTTACAATAATTCTGTTATCCCGAGCGAACTTTAAAGTTTTGTTGAACATGTTTTATTTTAGCCTTGTGTTATTGTGAGTACGATCAACAGACCTTTATAAAGTTTACTTTACGATTACCTTGTTACCCGCATTCTGCCTTTTAGTTTTACTATATCTGCAACCATTTTACCCATGCAATGAGAACGAAGACAGAAAATCTCTTCCGGCAAATACAGAACTTTGACTTCAATGAAAACTATTCCTCAGCCGACAATGCTCAACGATTTGGGAACCTAATGCACGTACGTCAAATGATCCCAAATCCACAGTTTGACTGGTCTCCCAGACTTTTTGAAACCCTAATGTGATCCTAATGTTCCCATATGGCTTCTTTGAACACGCTAAGCCAATCTGATCACCTAGCTCATGAGGTTCGGACATAGTAAACTATAATAAAAATGCTCTGATGAGGTGGTGAAATTCCGTTAATAACAGTCTTTGGCAGTCCCAACAGCATCTATCTGACATGGGGAAGCCTTAACTTATCCATCGTTACTTAAAAGCAAATCGAACCTGCCTACTTAAGAGTTCGTCCATCGCAAAAAGCATTAGGCAGCACTACGCCAGGATTGTTTTATCGCAGGAGGTTAAGTTAAACCCTGGCGACTGCGATCTTCAGGCCTGGTTCCTTAAGAGGAGAGAGAAGTCATGAGAAGGCCAGAGTAATAGGAAGAGTATATTCTGTACAGAATAAATTGGAGGATAAGCAGTAGGGAATTGACTATCAGACAACCGCACAACCGCATGCCAGCGGACGGCGTCGTAAGTCTTGTTTAATCGGCAGTCGTCATATTAGGTCCTGTGTGGGTCGGTCTGTGATTGGCTGTTACAGAGGAAACAGCGAACGTGTCCAAAGTGCACTTCGACTTGAGCTAGTCACGACAGGCGTTCACAAACGCACTTCGCGTGGAGCAACTCACCACAGTTAGGGTTTGATCCAGCGTGAGTTAGATTGTAATGGGCGCCTAATACAGCATCTGCTTCAGTGGAAAGGTGAAGTCGAGATGACTGAATATTAGCGTGAACGCAGTGGTCGAACCCCCACGTATTTGTACTAGAGGCTTGCTGGTACCTACAACAACGTTCTTGAGGCCGCGCTAGCAGACTAGTTACGTCCTGTTCCTGGGATGGTTCTCAAAGAGCGCAAAATGTTGGGTGATGGCCTTCAGCATTTGCACAATTACGCTATTCTGGGATGACATAGTCCTTAACTCATATACAAAGACTAAATACGACGTAATTCTCTATGACACCAACGTAAGAAGTGAATTCTTGCTCACCCTGTCTAGAAAATATGATTGCATTTATGCATGGATCGTGTGTGATGAGTCCTGTTCACATGAGTAACCTAACCTTCTTTAATTAGAATGTTGTCGTCGTAAATCTATGTCTCACCATATTAGAAGATTCAGTGTAAACAGTGTAGTCATAGCAGAAACCACTCGGGGAACACTAATGGCCTCACTTGTGTGTGGAACATATGGCATTTGAACAAGGCGAAGCTCACGAGATTAGCAGAATTTATTGACATTTTACAATTTCGCGACACCTTATTCAAATGCAAATGGTCATCGCCTATTAATAGGATAAATTAACTGTCTAATGAAGTGTCGACCTAGAAGGTTGAAACTTGATAGTTTGATACTTAATTGGACAGTTAGTTTATCTTATTACTAGACAATGGCCATTTGCAGTTGAATAAGATGTCGCGTAATTGTATGTCAATAAATTCAACTAATCTCGTGATATTCGCCTTGTTCATTTTTTTCCGGGAAAAAATGTTTCAATATCGCATTTGCGTTATCTAACAGAGACAGTGACAGAACAGATACCTTAATTTTGAGCTAGCGTTAATGCTGAATGAATGGCTTAACTTATTACTTCAGCAAGCGTTTCGTGCGTTTGGAGGCTAATGTCAAGCGTTTTGCATTTTACTGACATTTACAGTATTCGCCTTCTCCTAGATTCTGGTAATCCAACCCTAGTAGCAACCTATTCCAAACATAGCACTCGTCCGGCTTTAAAAATGCATACTCCCGCCAGATTTGGACAGCGGAGGACTGAGCCTAATCGTAGATAGCTCGTAAAGGTAATCAATGAATGATTGTATATTATCCCCCTTCTCTTAATCACCTTTAGGAAAGCCTTCGCCAATATCACTTACTTTCTGCTGAAGCCTGCCGAATCGCCGCAAAGGCGCAAACAGTCGTCCCAGTGCATCAGAGAGTGCAGCCGCTTCTGAGACCCACGCACGGCATTGTTCTCTGTGATTATAAAACCAACCAATATGGTCTACGCGCGTACCAGAATGTGATAGTTTTGGACAACAACGTGCTATCGTCACAAACAACTAGCTGTGAGGACCAAACCATCCCCAGTGGGTGCTCCTGCTCCCTCCAAACGGCTGAAGGGAAAACGGACAGTGAGTCGCCCTACACTTCGTCAGGGGGGGTCGTCGATGACCGCCAGCGGGTGTCTGAATATACAGACCCCTCTACGATACCCAGATCTCCCTCACCCTCGACTGCATCCGTCTCCTCAGCCTGTTCCTCGATTGTGGACATCGACTGCTCAAACACCTTCTGCGATCACCGGGAGGAGCGACTCTGGAAGGTTCAGACTTCTGACGGCAAAATCGAAATGGAAGTTCCCGCAGTCGCCATTATGCTCTGTGAAACTGACCAAATGGCGATCAACACCGCCTTCGAGTAAGTTGCCATCTTCTTAGCAGGCAGAATTCAGGTCAGGGTATACATATGTAGATTTCAGAAGCAGAAGATGCGACCTCGGACACAGCATAGAAACCCCAATTTCAACTGCCTTTCAAAAGTAGTACGAAATTGGGTGCGATTAAGTGATTAAAATAACTGGGCTGTCGCTGGACCCGAGGTAAATAGCTACTAACTTTATCTCTTCCTGGCACGCAATGAATGGTGTAGACAACCGGGTGTAAGGATTTCCTCTGGTAGCAGGATTTGCTTAGCTTAGTTGATGGTATGACAGAAAGCATTGCACATTGGTGGATGCAAACATGCCAAGACGGAATAATCGAAAAATATTATTAACAAAAGTGGAGTGAAAACGAAAATAGCCATGTCTGAATAAATTACCTCCTTCAACTAGTCTTATCCCAACCCGAAATAACGACCGCATTTCCAGGCCCTCGACTGACATTGTTATAATTATTTTTCTTCAGCCTTTGTGAACAACTGACGGAAATATGGGAAAAAACAATTGACAGCTACCTTGCGGGAGCTGTAACCCTCCTCTCTGGATACCTCAAGTACCTAAACACATCCGAGGTATGTCGAATCCACAGCTGAAATTACTCCTATAGCTCTTATGTATATTTAGATAGTTCTTCCTTTGAAAGACATCAGGCTGGGACGATCGTGCGTTTTCGATTAATCATCAGTCATATCATACGAATATACGATAAGGTCTTATTTTGTCTTCAGTGAGAAACCAACGGGACAGAAGGCACTAATGCTTAAAGAATGGTTAAAAAATGGCGAGGAATCACATGCATTCTGCCAGGAAAACACTTGTCACAAATAAATTAACAAAGCTCAAACGACTGCTAACGGTACACAGACTTTGAGATTCCACCGTCAGCTTACTCTCACTGTATCGACCCTGCCTATATAATGTATACTCTGGCCAAATAAAATATCCCACCCACTGACACTGCTGAGCCACGGAGAGACTGCGATCACCCTCACTCTCAAGGGCGAGCAATTATCACTTTTGCTGTTGCTATTGGACAATAAATTGCGCGCCGCCTATAGCCCACTGCACTCATGGTATAGCGGTTCTGTGAGGTGGCTTGACGATAAGCTGATTCCCTGTAGTATCTGGATTAGAAGGCACCTGCCTCCAATCAGTCCTCCGACATCGGGTTCAAAGTCCGAGATAAATACCGATTGCGGAACCTAGCCACAAATGCCATCTGCGAGGCTCCTAAACTACCCCAAACCTTTATATTTTTGAGGAATTCAAAAATGCACCCAGTTGTCTCGCGTATTGGGGGACTTTATCGACAGGTGTTAATGTTAAGAAGTTTAACCCTAACAGCTACGATGTTCCAGGCCCATGGTTTCTTTAGGTGAAGAGAGTAGATGGTGGGAAAGCCAGATTGTTAGGAATAGTGTACTTTGCAGAAGGATAGGAAAATAGATAGAAATAGTTTTGACTCGCGGACTAGTGCATCCGTTTTCTTGTCGGGTCGGGTCCGGAGTGATGCTTGAAGGCAGGCACCGCATTGTCGGCTTTGTCCCACGGATTGAGGCCAACCTACTAAATGAGGTCAGTCTACTAAAGCAGGAATTTCATTGGACGGATTGAGGTCAAGCCACTGTGGGTTGAGGCCAGAATGGGGGA